CTAAGTCGAGAGGCCCAGACTTCCCTCTCCCCAGCCATTTGGGCCAGCTCTTCTGGGGGAATCCCAAGGCGTTCTCTGGCCAGGTGAGAGACATAGTCCCTCCAACGTGTCCTGGGTCTCCCTTTAGGCCTCCTCCCTGTTGGAAGTGCCCGGTAAACCTCACCAGGGAGGCATCCTAACCAGATGCCTGAGCCACCCCAACTGGCTCTTCTTGATGTGGAGGAGCAGCGGATCTACTCCGAGCCCCTCCCGAATGACCGAGCTCCTCACACTATCTCTAAGGGAGAGCCCAGCCAACCTGTGAAGAAAACTCATTTCTGTCGCTTGTATCCGTGATCTCATTCTTTTGGTCACTACCCAAAGCTCATGACCATAGGTGAGGAAAGGAACGTAAATAGACCGGTAAATCAAGAGCTTCACATTCTGGCTCAGTTCTCACCCAACAGACCGATACAACGTCTGCATCGCTGTAGATGCAGCCCCAATACACCTGACGATATCGCGCTCCAGCTTTCCCTCACTCGTGAACAAGACCCCGAGATAAACTCCTCCAATTGGGGCAGGACCTCATCCCTGACCCGGAGAAGGCATTCTACCCTTTTCTGAATCAAGACCATGGTCTCAGATTTAGAGGAGCTAATTCTCATCCCAGCTGCTTCACACTCGGCTGCAAACCGCTCCAACGAAAGCCGAAGATCACGTTCTGATGAAGCCAACAGGACCACACCATCTGCAAAAAGCAGAGACCTGATCCTCAGGCCACCAAAACGGATGCCCTCCACTCCTTGGCTGCGCCTAGAAATCCTGTCCATAAAGTTTGTGAACAGAATCGGTGACAAAGGGCAGCCTTGGCGGAGTTCAACTCTCACTGGGAATGAGACCGACTTACTGCCGGCAATACAGATCAAGCTCTGACACCGGTCATATGGGAATCTAACAGCCCGTATTAGAGGGCCTGGTACTCCATACTACCGGAGTACCCCCACAGGGCCTTCCAAGGGATGCAGTCGAACGCCTTCTCCAAATCCACAAAAAACACATATTGGTTAGGCAAACTCCCACGCACCCTCCAGGACCCTTAAGGCAGAGCTGGTCCAGTGTTCCACAGCCAGGAGGAAAACCACATTGCTCCTCCTGAATCTGAGGTTTGACAATCCGATGGATCCTCCTCACCAGGCACCAATGCCGGTGATGATGATTGGTGCCTGTCGTTGCATTAAAATGTAATCTTTGAAATGATCAGTGTCTACTTTTACTCTTTTAATGTCTCAGCTTTTACATACCAGGCAAATATTATACATCAAACTCTCTCCCTATGCTTTCTCTCTCTCATGATGTGTAGTTTTTTGGCGTTTTTTGGTTTGTTAGACCCAACTGACCTAATTTAAATTGAAATAGTTGTCATATTTGTCACAATATTCAAAGTTTAAGTATGCATTAAGAAAGTTTGTTACCTGCATTACTTACATTTAACTTTTTTAGGAGGGTGAACCCACATGTGATTGTATTGCTTATTTTGGCATCAGAAATCAAGAGTTAGACTATAATTGGACTACTGGACATTGGTAAAGAGGCTGATATCAGACATCGCTATAAATAAGACATCATCACAATAGCCTTTCAACAGCAGTAATCCTCACATACAAGTTATACTGGAAAAATCTTAAGTCCTAGTCTTCTGAATGGTAGATGTTCTGAATTCTATTCAATGTTATGTTTATCCGTAGTTTACATTTGCTATGTAAAATTGTGTGTGTGTGTGTGTGTGTGTGTGTGTGTGTGTGTGTGTGTGTGTGTGTGTGTGTGTGTGTGTGTGTGTGTGTGTGTGTGTGTGTGTGTGTGTGTGTGTGTGTGTGTGTGTGTGTGTGTGTGTGTGTGCGTGTGTGTGCGCGTGCGTGTGATCCTACTATTCCATGCTAAATACATACTGTCAGTTATGACTTTAAAACAAAACCAAGCAGTCTGACCACCAATTTATTCCACTTTTTTCTAATCAGCAGCCAGGCCAAGGATGTCTCCATACATATTCATGCTGCTTCAGTAGTCTGACACACAAAATTGGTCTTAATGTTATGAGAATGAATAACACAAATTCAGTTAAATACAAGTCAAGAACAAATTAATAGGAAAATAAAGCATTAGATATGAGATGGTAAACCCATGTGTCTGATGGCTCTTGAATCTGTAAAACTGGAGGTTTTTGGCTGAGTAAATTGGCGCAGTCGATGCTTGACATGATTCGGTGTGCTTTGGACACACTTTTTGCAAATCTATGCAAATGTCTTGTGAAGAGAAGATGAGATAACCTCTTCTTGGATAACAAAGCTCTTGATGATCAAAGCTGTCTGAAAGCATGGTGTCATGTTTTCACCCTCTTAAGGAATATTCTTGTTGAATAACAAGGAAAATATTCCAAATCATTTTGTTGGCAATTTGATTTTATTCAATTCAATAATTGTTTAACAATGTAGATATATCCCATTGCATTTATCTGAATTGTATTGAATATTTGAAATCCAGAAGCAATATAATATGGGTGACAATCACCTCTTTCCAAATAATTGATGGAGTCACATTTTGATAATTCTTTGCTTATTTCCTACACTTTCTTTTTGATTTTCTTCCCCACGCTGCTTACCTTTCATCTGTTCTTTCCACAACCTTCGTTTTCCTTCTCGCTCATTCACCATCCCTTTCCTCTTTACCTCCATCCCAGCCCCTAACCACCGCCCCTCTCCTCCCATCCTCTCCCTCTGCTCCTCTCTGCCTGGTATTGATTAGAAGGCAAACCTCTAATCTCCTTAAGGTCATTAGGAACACTTAATTAAAACCTAGTTAGAATGCCTTTGTTCGACCAAAGCAAATTGCAGCTGTTCAAACGAGATTAGTACGATAACATGAAAACTTGTCGGGAGGGAAAAACGTAGCAAAAGGTTTGTGTTTAGCAGAAATGTTTATGTAGAGAGCCTAAACCCATGGAAGTCCACACATTTATAGACCTATTCTTCAGCTTGTTAGTAAGTTACTGTTTAACATTGGCTGGTTGGTGTAAAATAGAGAATGTATAAATGGAAGCAAAACTGTGTGTACAATGATCTGAATAGTTTCCATAAATCAGTGGCACTGGATGGTTTTTGTCGGTGGCAGAGGAGGACTTAAGTGTATGCCCCGTAACCGGAGGGTGGCAGGATTGAGTCCTGCTCAGTCTGTCGCAGTCTTTGTATCTCTTGGGCAAGGCACTTAACCCACCTTGCCTGCTGGTGGTCGGAGCAACCGGTGGCGCCAGTGCTCGGCGGCCTTGCTTCCATCAATGTGCCCCAGGGCAGCTGTGGCTACATTGTAGCTCATCACCACCAGTGTGTGAATGTTTGTGTGCGTGGGTGAATGACTGTTGTGTATGCTGAGATATTCATAAAGGTGCTATAAACATGCAAGCATTTTTGGTAGATTTGTCTGGTCTTCCCAACAAAAAAAAGCTGTGACGCAACTGCAGCTCATTCAGAATGATACTGCTAGAGTCTTAACAAGAACCAAGAGAACCGAACACATCACTCCTGTTCTTAAAAACGGGTTACCAGTAAACTACAGAATCTATTTCAAAGTACTACTCGTTTATAAATCACTCAGTGGCATAGGGCCAAAATACGTGTCGGGTCTCTTTCCTGTATATACACCCAGCAGGGCTCTGAGATCTTTAGAAAACAATCAGCTGGCAGAACCCTGGGTCAGAACCAAACAGGGTGAAGCTGCTTATAGCTACAATGCTTCCTTTTGAACTCAAATCTGCCCCAAGTCTAGTCATTTTTAAGTCAAAATTGAAAACTTTCATGAATTTATCAGCCTTTAAATACTAGTCCTTATACTGCACCTTCTTCACTGCAGCTGCTCAGTCTTTAACTTTTTTCTCTGATTCTTAAATCTGAAATTAATTTGTGTGCATTTTAATTGTGATCTTATGTTGATTTGAATGTTCATGTTATTCTTGCTAAGCATATTGAATTGCCTCTGTGTGAAATGTGCTATATAAATAAAGCTGCCTTGCCTATAGGCTGTTCAAAATCTGACTTGAAGAATGTCGTCTGATCATGCGTTCCAATCCAACTGACAATCTCTCTTGTACCAATGAGCTCTAAACTAGTGTGTGAGGTCATTTGCAAAAACAAATGTATACATTTTTATACATTTCCAAAAAAATGCATCTTTTTATTAATTCAGGTGATATCAGTCAAAATGAAATATTGCGATTTTTTAACCAAAATTTACTCAAGAGTGGAAATACATTATATTTCTATTTTAATTGCTACTAAACTCTAATTAGAACAAACAATTTTTATTTCAAGGCCAGTTTTGCTCCAAAAAATGACATTTACTACATATTTGGCCAAAAAATATTGTATTTGTCGTGATTTTACATATTTTTGTGTTGTGTGAATCTTTTCTTGTCTTTTTTTTTGTGTATTTACATGATGCACTTTTCACCCTTTTAATTTAATTTCCCACAATAATTAATGTAGGGTTTTTAACGCTCTTATTAGGAGGTGGAAAAACAAGTTTCAAGGAGTCGACAAAAATTTTTTTACGTTTGCTGAGTAAATTATTGTTTTCATATTTTTACATATTGTGGAACAATTAAACGGTGATGAAGTGATGTAATGCGGCTGAGAGATCACTCAAATCATTTCATTCTAAGCTCTAAGTGGTCTGTTGATCACCGTTGCCTAGTAACGGAAGTAGCTTTCCGCTTTGAGGAGTCACTTGTCTGCTATACCCAGACGCATCTTGTGTGTGTGTGTGTGTGTGTGTGTGTGTGTGTGTGTAGGTGTGTGTGTGTGTGTGTGTGTGTGTGTGTGTGTGTGTGTGTGTGTGTGTGTGTGTGTGTGTGTGTGTGTGTGTGTGTGTGTGTGTGTGTGTGTGTGTGTGTGTGTGTGTGTGTGTGTGTGTGTGTGAAGTAATACAACCACACAGGGGGTAATTATTTCAATGACTTCTATTAAAAGCAACCGTTGTTGTTCCGCAACAGAAGCGAAATGAACATAGTCGGTCTCACGCTGGTACCGGGGTTCTCAAGTTTTCGTTACTCGGTTGTGAACAGTGTAACGTTGCGTCACCGTTACTTTGTGGCCAGTATCCCGCCGCCTCGAGCGCTGTTGACCAGATGGCAGCTCACGCTAATCTTCTTATAACGGCGCGCGCCGCATGTTCTGAATGGGAGAGGAGAGACGGAAACAAAACAGAAAAAAAGAGAGCAGCTTTTAAAAAAGATCAGCTGGACCGTGATTCAGTTTTTTTCTTGTAGTTAGAAGCGAGTTAATTGAAGTCATATTTGGGAAGGACTACTTTTTGGGGGGTTGCGTCTGCCACCGCTGACGGACAGGCGTGTGGGAGAAACGGCTCCCTGTGGCTCGCGCCACAAGCAACAAGTTGAATGTTTGCCGACGTCGCTCGTGTGATGGGAGCAGAGCTTCTTGACGTGAGTCAGGTAAATATTCAGGAGCTTTTATTTTCTTTTTTATATAATTCCACCACATCTACATAGATTTATGAATATCTCAGCATACATAATATTAACAGTGGAGGCTTTTCCATTTTCTAACGTGGACCATGTAATATAACACTTGAGTTGAATGCACGGCTGGCCTCCTTTTGTGTGTCAAAATGTGAAATTGAAGCTCCAAAGTATTGCAATGAAGAGAGCTTTGGCCTAAGCCTCAATTTCCAACAAACTTATGTGAGAACCTGTTTAGTTGGATAAAAGCTGGGGACCAGATGCCAGAGGGAAAAGGGCATGTTTAATTCAATGGGAAATGAAGAAAAGGGGAAAGCAATGCAGCAGTATCAGATGAGCTCTGCCTCCATCAAGCTGTACATGATAGTGTGGGCTTTGGTTAGGGAATAGCCTGCATGGCATTTCACTCTCCTCAGATTTGTCTGATGTTAGATTTTGGTCTGACCACTGCTCTCCTTCTCTTTTCCCCCACCCGTCTCCAGATTGAGAAATCCTGCCTATCATGTGAAGGCTTTGGTTGTGGTTTACACATGTGTGGGGGTGCGTGTGTGAGTGATGGACGGTGAACTGAGCTTGGTTGCTACACCCCAGGGGCACTGGCCTGTAAAAATGTCCCTATAACCCTGGAGCCATGGAACCATGACAGTCATCACTTATTCAGACGGGAGGCTTCCGAACAAAATTAAAGATTCTTGAGGATCCCTCAGTCTGCAGGAACGTTCCTCAAAAATGTCTGAGTGGCTAAAACCTGGACCCATGAACTCCTTAAACCATCAAAATTGCCACTTAGAGAAATGCCCAATGAAGAATGGAGCGACTCAAAAACAAAAAAGATTTGTTCCCAAAACATTGCAAATATTGAGCAGGGGATGTTGGACAATTTGGTTAAAAGGAAGCGATGAAAATGGGGAAAATCTTTCAGAAATGTATTTTGAAAAACCAGGTGAAATCATGCAAATGGGCCAATGTGTTTGGATAAAAAATCCTATTTTTGGCGTTTTGTGGACTTCACCCTGGAAAAATCGAGACGAAAACATGAAGAAGCAAGCAAACCTTTTCAGGCCAAGGTGGCATCACGTCTTCCTGTGCTTCCATCTTCTGTTGTTAAGCCTTTGTGCAAAACCTGCTTCATCACAGGTAAGAGAGCATTTATAAAAAAACACCCTAATTAGAGTTAACTGGCTGTGGCAGAAGCAGCACAGGTGTAACAAATGACCATAATGATGCTTCTGTCCCAGTTTGGAACCTAAGTTTGGCAAAGTGCATCAATCAGAGTCACTTCTGTTCATGATTTTAAATGTCTGCTGGGGTTACTATGACGATAATGCCAAGTTAGTCCCATCTCACCTTCTGCAGGGACATTTTCCACGAATGGAGAATATTGCAGCTTTCAAACCCGTGTCCGCCTCTCCTCCTTGGTCCACCTGTGGTGTTCCAGAGCGGAGCAGCTCCTGCCAGCCACCTTCTTCCAAGGCTGAACTACTGACATGTTATCAAGCTGTTTGTGACCAGGAATGCCCCTATAGATCCTCCACACCACCACATGCCCCACTGCTGCTAGCTGCACACAGGTAGAATCAGGTTTTAGTTTTTAAAGTGCAACCTCACATATCTGTAATGTGACGCTGAACTTAGCAGTTTTTATATCTAAAAACACTTTAGTTTATTAACATGTTGATCCTAATTCTTTTAGGGGTAACTGTGTAACTGAAGACATCACTGACACTCGTCCTGGTACTAGAACAGAAACCGGAATCAGTTTGGATGGGCTTCCAGCTGGATCTGGTAGTGTGCTGTTTCAACCAGGAAAAGATGGATGTGCCGTCACCCCTCCCCCACAGAGTCTAGGAGCACGGGGTTCTCTCACCTTAGCATTGTGGATAAAACCAAGTTCTTCTGAAGAAATGTGAGTAAGCAAAACAAAGTACCTTAAACATGTTTCAAATCATGGCTGGGTATATTGAGCTTTCTTTTGATAGATGCATACATTCAAATGGCATAAAATACTGCTGTGATCTGTATAAGCATTACAAATGTGCACACAGACAGTTGCTGATAAAACTTTGAGCACGTCAGTGTTGGTTTTTTTATTCTTTCAACCCTCCCACTGTCCTAATGGGTGTGACCTCGTGAGGAAAGTTGACCATTGAGCAGGATTGATGGTTTATCGCTTGAGGTCCACATGGCAGGGGTGAGTTGGTGCTCACTCCTCACCCCTGCCATGTGGACCCAAGGGATAAACCATCAATCCTGCTCAATGGTCAACTTTCCTCACGAGGTCACACCCATTAGGACAGTGGGAGGGTTAAAGTGAAAAATATTCCTGGTATGCAAGACTGAGGTTTCCCACAGTTTGACTGTTGACTTGTGTCACTTTAATAATAAAGGTGCTAATGCAGCGAGTGCGACTGCCCAAAATTTCAACATCAAACAGACAAAAAGTTTTTTAGATGGCTAATGGACACAAAAAGTGAAAGGAGAACCAGGATAGAAAGAAATATTAATGCTGTTGCTGGAGGCCCATTAAAGCTGCAGTGGCAATTTTGGAAAGCAGAGTAGCTTTCTTTTTCTTTTTTTTTTTTTCATACAGCTTAACAATGTTCTATCATAGCTCTAAATATATATAGTGGAGATAAAAATATTAATAATAATTATATATTACAGTTTTTCTCAAATGCTAAAGCACATTTCACAAACGTTTCCTCCATGTTCCCCAATGTCTAAGCACAACACCCTTTTCTAAAACTACATAAACACAACCACACCTTCTCACTTCAAAACTCAAACTTTCACACCAAAAGAGCAGCTCGAAGCTTTCAAAAATGTAAACACTATACACATCATTACACACTAAAGCAAAACAATTGAAAACACAATGCTCAATTTGTGAGAAGGTTCTTTGTTTCATAACTGCCAATTTGCCCATTTTTAGAAACTTTACAGTTACGGATCTTCTTAGATCTCTGCAGAGGATTAGGCATTTCGATTTGAGAGTTTCATATGAAGAGTATAAATCTATAGAACATTCTGCATGTACACTACTGTAACACAACTCAATGCAAAAACAGAATTTATTGCGCACAACAGCACACACACACACACACACACACACACACACACACACACACACACACACACACACACACACACACACACACACACACACACACACACACACACACAATCACTGTGCGGCATCATGTCGCTGAGCTGCATCGGGCCACATCACCTCATCCACATCGCAGGCTATATTGTCTCTTGCCAGGCATCGTGGGAAAAACGCCCTGGAATGGCAAATCCATCCTTGTAAGGCCTCCACTGGGATGTCGCCACAGGCCAGCTCCATTGCCCTTAGGAGGTTCTCTGTAGTGTATGGTTGTCTGTCATAAACCTTCTATCTGCACGATGAGAAGAACTCCTCTATAGGGTTCAGGAAAGGGGAGTAGGGTGGCAGACAGATGTTTAAAAAGTGCTTACTGTTGGTGGTGAACAACTCTCTGATTTGGTTTGTTCTGTGGAAGCGGAAATTGTCCCAAATGATCACATAAATGTGATGTGTGGGCCTAGGATGGTGTTGTTGGTGGTCCAGGAGGATGTCTTTTAGCTCCTCTAGGAAGGTGAGGAGATGTTGGGTGTTGTAAGACCCAAGGACAGCATGCCGGTGGACAAGCCCCTCCGAACCCATGGCCGCACAAAGAGTAATATTACCCCCCCACCCCCCACCCCCCGTTGGCCAGGAACCTCAGTAATGGCTCTTTGGCCAATGATGTTACGGCCTCTTTGCCTTAGTTTCTGCAGGTTGAAGCCAGCCTCATCCCGGAAGAGGTACTCATGAGGTCTGGCCATGGCGTCCAACTGCAATATCCTCTGTGAAAATGTGAAAGTGCACAGGTGTTCAGAACAACAGTCAATCAGGTAGCACAGTATTGTCCAAACCTAATGTAGGCCACTGAGCAACACAGTATATCCACTAACTGTACTGTGAACATGGATGTATACTTACTTGCACATACTCGTAACGTAGGTCTTTGTGTCGCGCAGAGTTGCGCTCAAAAGGAACCCTATAGACCTGCTTCATCCGCATCTTTTGGCGCCGGAGAACTTGGTCTATTGTGGCTAAGCTGACATCATCAATGCTCTCAAAGTTGACATTATCGGCAATGACTTTGTCTCTGATCTCCCGGAGTCTGATGAGGTTGTTCTCACGAACCATATCCACAATGATGGTTTCTTGTGCCGCTGTAAATATGGCAACCCTCCCACCTCTATGTGGCATTCTTTCAACTCTAAAGAAAGAAACATGTGTTGTCAATTGACATGTACAACAACTGATTTGAAACCAATATACTACTTTCACAGGCTTGTAAAACTGTATTGTGACAAAGAAAGCAATAGAGTACAATACCTGTTGTGTTGTCTGAATGCCCTGATAATGGTGGTCACGATGAACCTACTCAGGTTTGGACGGACTCTTAGTCCTACTTCAGCCATTGTCATGCCATGGACAATGACATGGTCAATGACCGTTGCTCTCATCTCTTCCTTAATGATGGTGCGAGGTTGTCTTGCTCTCCCTTCTGGACCTTCTCCTCTCCCTTGTTGGCCTCCTCCTCTTCCTTCTCTGATTTGAACTCCTCTTCCTCATTGGCCTGCTCCTCTTCTTCCATGGCCAGCTCTTCTCCCTCCTCTGACTCGAATTCCTCTTCCCATGACTCTGCCTTCATCCATTGTGCTTGTTTGGAATCTTCAGCAAACTGTGCACTCTGAACTTGCTTTTTTACATGTGGTCACAGCATTAGCAACAAGTGTCTTTAATGTTGAGTCATTGTGTGTAATGAATGACGACAGGTGTGTTCATTGTGTTCAATTAGTGCTGACCGTGGCAAGCATTTGGCATCACATGAGCTTTCATTTGAGAATATGAGCAGAGTTCTTTTGCAACTTGTGTTTTAGCAAGGAGAAATGTGTTTAGATTTATGAGAACGGAGGATTGTGTTTTGTATATTGTGTCTTCATGTGAAATGTGTTTATGATGTTGGAAAATGATGGCTAGATTTAGTAAATGTGTTTAGACAACTGGTCATTTGGTTTCGAGGATTGGCTTTTGTGTTTTAGCATTTGAGAAAAGCTGTATTGTCTGCCTCACCGAACCGTCACATATCTCTGGGTTCTGTATTCATTACGTCTTTGTGCATTTTGCAACAGAACACCACTGGTGTGAGAGGTTCTCCACTCAGTAATGTCAGAGGAGAAACAGACACGGCTGCTACCACTTCAACTTTAGGGCAAACTACCAGGGTCCCAAAAAGAAAAACACCATTTGAAGTTATGGATGCACCGATCAGGTGTTCTGCTGCTGATCACCGATACCGATATCAAAGAATGCTGATCGCCGTTACTGATCACCGATATCAATCACGTGGATTGGCCAGAAATTTTCTACAACATTATAATGAGTGCTACAAACTACATAATCTGGGAATAAAGGAAATGTAACCTAATCTAAAATGGTCTGTATTAGGGTTGTCACGGTGTGAAAATTTAACCTCACGGTTATTGTGACCAAAATTACCACGGTTTTCGGTATTATTACTGTATTTTTTTTAAACGTGCTACATTTTCACACAGTTAAATAAACCCTGTATGTCAGGAAATATTGTCCTCAGTTTGTGTCTAAATTTAGCCTAAAATGTGTTAGTTTGTAATTATGTTATTTGTTTAAATTTTTTCCCTTTAGTCTTTAAAATACCAATATTTGCCCATAACTTCTTATTTTATGTCTGTTTGATGTCATCATTTAAAAAATATTAGATCAGATGATACTCAGTACTCAAGTAGCCTTCTAATCAGATACTTTTTTACCCTTACTTGAGTAATAAAACCTATATCAGGAAAATATTGTCCTCGGTTTGTGTCCTTCCAGTGAGCTTTGCAGATGTGGGAAAATGTCATCAGGCAGTAATCATTGTTAAATTCATAATTATTCTCAGAGAGAGATCAACTCTTATCTGCCCCTGGAAGTCCCGTAATGCATAGCGTCATTTCAACATGGCGGTGTCCGCGACACGGTTTATATGCAGGTAGCGGCGCTGCGGCTGCTTTATATAGCGACTCGTTGCATTCTCCTTCAACCCAAATCCTCGGATCACGCATTTTAGCTAAAACGCTAACGTTAGCTTGCCTTGCGTTGACTGTAGAGTTGTGGGTGTTGGTCACGCAGATGTGTCATGGGATTTAAAGCATTGCTGCCTTTCACAGACACTTTTTCTGCACGTGCTGCAAACGGGATAGCCGTCTTCTATCAACTGTCCCTCGGCATTCTTCAAATATCTAAAAGATGCCCGTACTTCCGACTTTGTCTTCTTTGAGGGACAAAAAATGTCCTGAGCACTGCGGTCTCCTCCTTTGGCCATTATTTCAGCTTTAGCTTCAAGAAAGTTTTGGTTGTAAACAACAAAGCGCGCATGTGCCGCCGGCAACTTCAGCAGATGATACGGTGGCTGGTAAGGGTCGCCGCGCCTACACCGCAGCCACGGTAATCCACCGAGATAATATAGTTTTTTTTTAAAACAAGACGGTTATTATTATTGTCAACTTTTTTTACCGGGGTTTACCGCTACACCGGTTACCGTGACAACCGTACCTGATCGGTCTGCTTTGATCTATTTTGAAAACGCCGATCAAAACCGATAGGGAAGCTATCGGCCGATTGGGATCAAATGCCGATCCATCGGTGCATCCCTATTTGAAGTCACGGACAACAAAAGACATTTGGACCTTGAAAACAATGACTGGTGTTTAGTAATCTCTAGTTTCCTCTGGTCTGTGGGTTTCCAGTTCTGGCAGAAGCGTCTCAGGGAAGATACCCTGAGGAGCTTGTCTCTAGCTTGTTTGCAGATTTGTGCG